CTTTTTTCTGGATCTATACTGTTTACCCTCCCTCCCTCCCTCCCTCCCTTCCCCTTTTTCGCTTTTCTATATTCTTTTTTTAATTTTTCTGTAGCATTTAACTTCATAAAAAAAGTCTCCAATAAAAATTATACATATAAAAAAAGAGGGAAAGCATTTCACTAATGAAGATGTAAAGAAAGTCTTTATGGGGGAAATATTAATGAGGATTATCCTAAAGAGTCTGAAATTGGAGGTTGATTAAGGATTCAGGTTGAAGTGGAGGTACAGTGATTTAGCTTCAATTACAATTATGATATAGTAATACTATCAACCTTAAAACAACTTTTAAAAAACTGAGTGGTGGGCTAACTAATAAAGTGAAATTAGGAACCTAGATTGAGAGTCTGATAAATGCTTTTCTGTCTCCTTGGTCTCAGAGATAATGACTGCATTAAGATGACTGTATTTAAGGAGCAACTGGCCAGAGTTGTAAGAGCAGAGAAAGGATAGAAATTGTGATAGAGGGAAATATGATGGGAGGCACTCAATAGACAGTTACGGGGATGGGGAATGGAAAAAAAATGGTGCCAGTCCCCTCTTCTCTGGACTTAGGTGGTGGATTGTTGCTGGCCCTGGCTTCAAATTGTTGTTGCTTAATTCCAGATTTCTCTGTAATAAAAATAGAGTGAACCTTGTGTATATAACCAAGACCTGCTTGGGCAAAGATAGAGGGGAGCCTCTCTCTGAGATCTCCCTTGCCAGGCTTGAGGTACTGCATCAACCTTGACTCCGGGTTTGGGGATAGGGGGGAGTGGCAATTTTCCTTTGGCAGAACTTGATGGTGTTCAGATACACTACCCTGCAGCCAACTGGGCACGAGGCCCTCTATTTGAAGTTTAGTACCAGAGATAGCTAAGGTTGCTGGTGGTGTCTCTCCTTCCTGCTGCTCATCAGCATTCCTGCCCAAGCTTCTTGGATAGCTGGGCTCTTATTGTTTCCCCCCAGCTTTTGATGCCAGAGTATTTCAACCTTCAGGCCTTGGGTTGGCTCAAGATTTCATGGCCACTGTGACAACCATGGCCCTGATGCATACAAGAGGCCACATACCTGCAATCTAACTTTAGAGCAGTTAGATTGCAATCTGAAGATGGGGGACATCTCCATCAGTCATTGTCATAAACAGATTACTTTCTGGTCAGCATAAGGTCAACTGGGACCACCAACCTCCATAGAAGGAAGAATTAATTAAGATGCTTTATACACCCAGATAGGTTCCAGCAGATGCTTGGTGAGTTTCCTGGTAATCAGGTGGGCAGTTCGATGGGGTGCCCTGTTGATTTCTGAAGACTGCAAAAGTACTCAGCAGGATTGCCCCTGAGTTGCCTCTCCCAGTATGCAGATCCAGGAGGCCTATTTGGTTTACTGAGGAATTCTGGGAGATGAAGCATCAGAATAGACATGTAGAATGACATTAGTGAAAGACAAAGAGTGAATATGACTGAAGAAGGGTTAGAGCTCATGTTTGTGCCTACAGTGTGGCAGTAAGGGCAACAAAGTGTCTATATATCTCTATAATTATTATGTTCAAAGACTGCTGTCCTTACCTACTCACTGTAAGGTAGAAGTGGTTTGGAAGTTTTTTCTTCAGGCTGCTGCAACCTTTTTATTAAGGTGCTTTGTAAACAAAATTACACATTTGCTGGGAAATACATGCTAACCTGGCAAAACCTGTTGAGATCACAGGGGTAATGTTTTTTAAAGTTATCAGGGATTTACTTGAATGTGTGACTTCTGAGGAACTGAACAGTATTCTCTGTGCAATGGGCTCCATCACATGTAGGCTACATCCATAACTGTCTTGGTTCAAGCTGGCAGGGAGGGAATGAGAGGCTGGGTACAGGGTAGCAGTGAATGGCTCTTTGAGGAATAGAGTGATACCCCTAGCTCTGAAAGAGACAGTGGTACATCCCTTCTCAAAAGGCCATCCCTTGACCCAGCTATTTTGGACAACTATTGCTCTGTCACAATTTCCCCTTTGGGGGAAGGTTGCTGAGAAGGTACTGGGACAACAATTACAAAGGGCCCTAGATGAATTGGATTATCTCAGTGTCTTTCAGTCTAGGTTCAGGCCTGGTCATGGGACAGAAATGGTATGGCTGCTCTTGTGGATGACTTGCAGCAGGACCAAAATCCATCAATTTGTACAGTACATCAGGATGATGATGATGATGATGATGATGATGATGATGATGATGATGATGATGATGATGATGATGATGATGATGATGATGATGATGATGATGATGATGATGATGATGATGATGATGATGATGATGATGATGATGATGATGATGATGATGATGATGATACCCAGTTTTACATTTCCACCTCAGCCTGTATAGATGAGGCTATGGAAATCTTAACTCTGAAGGCTGGGAGGGAACAGCCTCAAGATCAATCCCAACAAGATAAAACTACTATTAGTGCAAAAGACTTATTATTCTAGGAGTGCTCAAGTTTTGGATGGGTGCAACTACCACTGAAGGAACAAGTTTGCAATCTAAGGTCCTCCTAGCTTTGTATCTCTTTCTAGATCAGCAGCTGGAAGCCATGACCATGATGACCCTTTCCCAACTTCAGCTGGTGCATCTACTGCAGCACTTCCTAGATCATCAGACTCTGGTAGCAGAAACTCATGCCATTATCAACTTTCTCTTAGATTACTGCAATTCACTGTACATGGGACTATCTTTGAAGGCAATTTGGAAGTTGCAGCTGGTACAGAATGTAGCAGTCCATATACTGACCCTAAAGTAGAATTTAGTAGAATAAGACCAATTTCCAGAAGCTGTGCTGGTTGCCAGTAGGCTTCGCAATCCAATTTAAAGTGCTAATTATTACCTAATAAAGCCTTTTATGGCTTTGGTCTTCACTACCTTTGGGACTGTCTAATGTAGAATGAATCTACCCATCCCAAACATTTGGGCTGAAAGGGCATGCTACAGATCCCCTCCCTTTGGGAGGAGAATGGGGAGGGCTTAGAAGACGGACTTTTTGGTCACAGCCCCTCACTCTGAAATAGCCTACCTTCCCAAAGTCAGATTGGCCTCCTCCCTACTGACATTTGGAATAAAGCTAAAACAGTATCTTCACTACAGGGGATGCCATTTGATTGGAAGCAGCTGTTGCATTGTACCTGGTGGTTTGGGGGTGAGATAATGTTCAGTTATTATGTTTTTAATCTGTATTTTATTTTGTTGACTGTAGAAAGCCTAAAATCTAAAATAAATTGTGTGGCATACAAATTTATGTAATCAATAAATACATTTTATTATTAACCTCGCTAGGTATCCTCAATATTTACTGAAAACAAGTGGTCTGTCGTGGTCTGTTATAGATTTTGTGGAAGTGATCATGATAATCATGATAATCATGATAATCACTCCTATTCTCTGCTTCATTAGACAATCTTGAGGGTTCTCAATTTCTAAAAGTAAAGTCTGCCCCTTGGTTACAAGCCCCATGGTCATAGTAGGAATTCACAGGGTGCATATGTTAAACATTACAGCCAGAGTAGAAATGATTTGCCTTGCGAAGGCAGTTTTTGTCCTATTCTCTTTAGTGACCATAGAGTGTGTCTTGATCCACAGTTTTAAGCTGTTCAAGAGAAAAAACAATTTGGTATGGCTTTCCTGCTATTAAAGTTCTGGGTGACTGCATCAAAGGTTGAGTTTAACTTAGGGAATATTCTTTACTCTGGTTAGGATAGTTTGATTTATTTTATCTCAGATTTAAAAGATCATGGCTCCAGAGGGAGAGAGATGGGGCCAAATGCAACTTCCAAAAGGAGTGTATTCCATTGTCTGGGAGCAATGCTGAAAAAGGTCTTCTCCCATGTAACAGAAAAGCAGGCTTCTGACAGCAGGGGCATTTTGAAAAGGGTCTGTCCTGCCTTCTGAATAAGATAGTTTCTAATAGGTGAGACAGTCCTTTCTGAAAGTCCAGTTTTTTCATGTCAGTCATTGCAACATTTACATTTATAATAATAAAAGTAATGAATTCCTAAATATTTGATTTAGAAAAATAAAATAAAAATTACATATACACATAACAGTATATTCAAACTGCATCAAAATACCATAACCTGATTTCAGCCTACAGAATGGAGAGCCATTTCTATTTAAATAGAATACATGTTAATCCTGTATTTTACATTTTTTTAAAAAAAAAAATGGTCCCATGTCTAATCTATCCTTAAGGCTAACAAGTTCTAATACAAAACAATAATACCTTTTAAGAATTATAGACAAGAGATAGGGATACAAACTGAAAGATGCAATCAATACCTTTTCTTCTTTTTTTTAAGTTTACCACAAATCTTGATTATGTCATACCTTTGTTAATATATAAATATATGTATACATATGCATAAATATACCTTCCCATCTTCAGTGTTTTGTTGACATGAGTTGTGAACGTCATCTTCTCTCACTAATTTACCAGGCCAAGAAGACAGTCCTTTAATTTGGCTCCAGACCAAGTCCCCAACGTTAAACGTCCTTGGTCTGTAATGTATCAACTCATTTGAAGAAGGGGAATCAGGATTCCTTAGGTCATCTTCGCTACTAATGCTTTTAGCATCTGAAGGACTAGGCACACACCCATTAATGCTTTTGGCATTAAAGTCTCCATTATAATGGATGTAGTCTTTAATCAGAGAACTTTCAAAACTATTGGAGGAACTTGGAGACTGTTCTTCCACTCCTAGGTCTTGCTTAGAAGGATTCAGCAGCTCTCCAAACCCTCTGCTCTGTTGAGGCCTGTTTCCATTTATGTGTGCACATCGTTCCACAGTGTTCTCTAGTCTCTCTTTAAAACTCATCATAGTTCTTTTGTAATTGCTATATCTGAAGTTCTCCTCCAACATCTTATCGCTGTGACAATTTCGCTGGGGTAATAATACTGGATGTTGCTTGCCTTGGCCTAATGGCAATGTGGAAATATTGTTGGATCTTTCATGGCAAGGACTGCTGAGGATATGGGATGAATGATCTAAAACCTCCTCACATTTCCATCGATTCATTTCCCCTCCAGGGCTTTGTTCCCCTTCCCACTGTTTTTTGGGTGTGTTGCAACCTGTTGGTTTGTAATATTCCAAACTATCCCCATCACTGGAATTTTTAAGGTGTTCTGAATTCTTCAATAATCGCGTCCCCCTAGTATTCCTTGCCCTATCTTCATGATCAGAAATGCCAATATTTCTTCCATGTATTACTGCACTGACAGCACTGGAAAGATTTAATGGATCACCAATTGAGGCTGTAAAGGCACTCATGGCACTCAGAGCTGGAATAGGGCTCATTTGTGTTGTACTGTTAACTGCGGTAGTGATGACTACTTGCATCCCCTTGCCTGCAGCATCTACCACTGCTTTGTAGATGGCATCAACTGAACCATCACTCTGGGCAGTTAAGCTGATGTCCTTTGCCTGTTGTCCTACAGATGGTTCTGTCCTTTGTTGTAAATTGCATACAGTATCTTGAAAAGAAGGAATTGCTGCACTGGAGCTTTCAGGGACTGGTGGCATCCCTATTTGAGAGATAATTCTCTTGTTCAGAAAAGCAGTCTCTTCCTGCATTCTCACCTTTAAAAATCATAGGGAAAAAAGAAATTAGATGGAGCCTTTAAAGGCTGCTTTAGACAAGGAAAGCTGCTAACATTTAAAAACAGTGGCTGAAGCAATTATGGAGTACTCATTCATTATCAAACATATATCTACAAAGGAAGTATACAATTAAAAGTAACACTATCCCAGGTGATCTACAATATTCACTCATGTTTTCTTGCACTGTACACCTTAAATAGATCGTAGGATATATTTCGTGACTATACAAGTATGATCCATCAATGGAATGCTAAATTTGAACTTCAATTAAATATATTTTTCTTGTTGCTTTCATTTGATACCTGCCCCTCCCTATATCAATTGGTTCATTAGCTCAGAGAAATTTGGAACATTCTTTTTCCTCTGGAAAAAATATACTTTATGGTTTGGATGATATACTTTGAAAAATGTAAACTTAGATCAGCACATTCTGGGGGAAAACGTACATTTCAGGGATAAACTGCTCCATTTTGCATACCAGAAATAAATGAAAGCAGGTGTGTTGAAGAACACAAGAGCACAAGCATAGCACTTCTGTGCAACTCTTTAAAGCAACTACAGTGGGGCAAAAAAGTATTTAGTCAGCCACCAATTGTGCAAGTTCTCCCA